TAATAGATATACTGGTAGATATACTGGTATAATAGATATACTGGTGTAATAGATATACTGGTAGATATACTGGTATAATAGATATATTGGTTTAGGTGTAATCAACTTATAACTTGTTTTGTAAACTTATATCTTATTAATATCTTTTAAAAAGGACTTAGTAATAGTCATCGAAGCATTCACAATTATGCGAGATCAATTGTTTGTGAGGTTTAAGATTTTCATGCTTACCTCATATGATATGAGCTGGTAACAATCAACTGATAATCAGTTTCATTTTCGTATTGCCTACTCTTTTGAGACATTGTTCGATTTCATTATTTTATTTAACTGTTCAAGACGAGTGACTCTATTTATAATTTGGAGATCGTTATTATTATTATTATTATTGAGGGTTTGTATTTTAATGTAGACATGCACTCGCACGTCCACATAAGATGTTTTCCCCTAGATATAAACTTTTTTCATGTCTTAATCCTAAATCATAAGATCTTAAGTGGTGTGACTGACTGACTTTAAAACCAATATGATGTGTTGTGCTCACTGTTCACTGCTCTATTGTTGTTTTGCGACATCTAACGAAGAATCTGAACAATCAAATTGTGCCGTATTCCGTCTGAAAAATATTTCTTCTCGTGCAAATTTTGAGTTTTTCATTCGTGATCGAGTAAGAAAGCGAGATGACACAAAAATGATGAAAACTCTTGCAATGAATATGTGACTTTTAGGATGTTTTTGTACGATATATAAAAATTATTTCACAATAAAAGTAAATAGAAAATTGTTTTAGCTCTCGTTAGATTGTAATCTTATATGTTATTGAGTGTAGCAAATGATCTGCGTGATAACAAAAGTCTAGTAACGTGAGCACGTGCGATTTAAGATGATGATGATGATGATGAGGATTTAAGGTATTGTTTATTGGGTAATCCGAAGCAATTGTTGTTGAACGAAACGAATGGATCAGTTCTAGTAGTGGCTATATACGTGCATTATTCTCTGCAAAAGACGGCAACCATTTTGATTAGTGTGAAAAGAAGAAATCGAACGAGAACAGTGATAGCTTGAAGCGAAGAGTGACTCGATTGAAATGACAAAGAAGAATTTATCGCTGTTGAAACGAAGCTCGAATCGGTCAGCGAATAAACCATCCATGGTAACGGGTGGTCGGGCAGAGGACAGCACACTGAACACGGCCAATAATCATAGTAACAATGGTCGTAATAATGATGAGCAAAAGGAGGCGTTTCTGAACGATCCAGAAGTGAAAGAACACCAACAGGCGGATAGATACGCGAAACTTTATGTGCCGTCCGGTGATATGGACATGGAATGGCAACCGGCATCGAGTTCAGTCTTTAAGGTTAGTGTTCGGTGATGAATTAAGTAATTGAATAATTGCATTTGTTAACACTTTTCATGATTACTCTGTTGTTTTTGAAATGTTTTCATTTTGGTGAGCTCAATTCAGATCCTCTTCTCATTGCGTATATCGGCAGCAATGTGGAGTGCGATATCGGACTGCGATGAAGTGTATAACTATTGGGAACCACTGCATCTATTTCTGTACGGGTCTGGCTTTCAAACTTGGGAATACTCTCCAGTCTATGCAATACGGTTCGTTTCAGTTGAGATATTTTTAAGAGTTTTAAAATCAAGTCTCAAAAATACTTCTCTTTAGGTCTTTGGCAATTTCTGAGCTATTAATATT